TGCCTTCCTCATGGAGCCTGGGGGTCACATGGACAGACTCCCACTTGATGGGCACGTTGGCAGCCGAGTAAATGTCCTTGACCGACTGCGCAATCTCAGGCCCAATGCCGTCGCCCTCGATGAGCGTTACGAGATACTTGCCGTCGCTGCCCTTCTTTCCGTGGAACTTGGCCACCTCGGAGGCGTATGTGCGGGCAGTGACCTGTGCGCGTATTAGTGACTGCGTGCTTTGTGACCTGTAACGAGTTGTAGGGGGATATGGTGAGGCCTGACCTGCGATAGCGCGGGCGCCCATGTTGAGCGGTTGGCCTGGCGAAGGCATTGCCGCGCGGGCGCAGCCAAAGAGCGAGCAGCCAGCATGATGACCGGTAAGAATGTGTTCCGGCTTCCTAATTGGAGCTGCACAAACACAAAAAAGTTTGCAGCTGGAGGTCGAGGGCGAAGGGTGGGCTGGCGGTTGGTTGTGCAGGCGCAGCCGTCAAGCTCCATCCGCAAAAACGCAACCGCGGGTCTTTTCTGCCAAGCCTCCACCTTGCGCCTCCGTCATCCATGGCATCGACAAACACATTCAAGGCCGCCAGCCCAGCGTCTGCCATGTCCAATTCCCCACACATCGAACGGTAGCCATTTGCGATGCGAATGCATGTCTACAAGAACATTTTCCTTTGGTCACTTGTGTCAGAACTGCCATTGCTGCACCGAAGCGTTGTGCTACCTACAGTGAAGGTCTTACCGGTACCGTACCGGTACGCCAAGTCTCCACCCTTCACACGCGTGGGGTAAAAAAATGTCTGCAACGGCAGCATTGAGAATGGACAAGGAAGGAAATCCCGAATCCTGTTCTCATCAAGGCGCTCAGCAAAGCACAAGCGCTTGCTGGATGGGAAATCGTCATGATAAGGATGACTTCACGACACGTCTAACCTCCCTCTCCTTGCCCTGCGCTCTAAACCTCCATGATGTTTACGTGGAGAATGAATCTAAACCATCTGTACCGGCCTCCCGGTGCAAGGGTTTGGACAGTAGTGCGGGGCAGTCCTACTCTATCTGCTTGATTGCAGGGAAGTATCCAAGGACCGTGATGGAAATGCCATGTTAGGCATGTGTATGCACTCTACTCCATGCAGCATCGCCAGTACCTACCCCTCGGTTGAATGGGTCCTGCATTGGATCCGACTCTCACTCGACCAACACTCCAGTCGTGCACTCGGGAGTATTCTCAGTTTTGAAGTCAATGGGCAGGACCTGTCCATATCAATATCGTCTGCAGATTCTCATGCTCACGCCTGACTCTTAGATGACGTGGTCCCGCGCAGCCATGTACTGCCCTACCGCGAAGCTCCAGAGAACCTTTGGCGGCTGTAGAACACTTTTCATGTCCAAGACCCATTGTCACAACAGCTCCTCTCCAATCAAATCCCAGAACCTCCCTATCGCATTTTGTACCTCGAAGTATCCATAGCTATGTTTCGTGACTCTCTTCGGCCCGTTGCGAGGATGGCGGACCGTAGGGCCGATGGAGTGTGTGGGGTTTCGTTCGCGCTGTGGCTGAGGTACGTTCAAGGAGACCGCTGGAGCCAAAACGTGGTAAGCCTTGTAGTCATGGGGTTATGCTCGAACCCAGGTTTCGACTTTGTAGCACGAGGGATTCACCCGCTAGCTTCGGTCGCATTCGTTGATAAGACAGATAAGCATGCCCAGACGTTGCTGATCACTGAACTCTGTGTGAACGTCGTTTGCGGCTTTTGTCTCTTCTTCCTTTTGAAACATCCAGCCCCTTTATCCAATTTGCCTTTTATCGTGTGCGAAGACCGTCAGTCGAACTGCTGCGGTCAACGCCAAAGGCTATGGCAAGTTGGATTCAGCGGAATGAAATTGTCGTTTTGAGCATGCTGGTAATTCATGCAACTGACTCGAGACAGGACTTGGACGGGAAAAGGGGACATCAGTAGAGTATCAGAAGGTTTTCGGAAATGAGCCAAGGTTGAATGGAGACAACTTGCTGAGGATCTTCCAAGGTCAGGCAGATGTGAAGGATATGAACTTGCCTTGGAAGTGTTGTAGAAGCTAGCGCGCCCGGATCGAACGGCGAGTGTGGAGCCGCAACTGCAGGCGACGGGCTCCTGACGCCACCGTCTCTGCATCGCGGCCAAAAACCAAGGTTGGCCTCGTCAGCTTGTGCCTACTACTCTACTGTTCACCGGCGGTACAGTTACTCTACTCGTACTCCTGCTATATACCTACGGTTCTACTAGTACTAGGTATACACAGGAGAGTATGGATGACTGCATGTGCTGTTTTGGGCGATACCATGTTTGCCTCTGCTGGGCCGGTACTTACAACAACGGTAGAGGTATGCTAATGGCCCCAGTGCCCCCCTACTGGTTACCTAGTGCCTGCCCAGTGCCCCAGTGCCCGCCAGCCAGCGATTGATGGGATTTCCGGGCCGTCCTGGGTCTCTTCAAAGCGTGCGCGCAAGAAGCAATGACATCATTCTGTTGCATCGTTTGATTTCCGTTGATCTCCACACATGCACTCCCATCGAGCTCAGACACGGCAACGGCGCCAACCTGACGCGGCTGTGGCTCGGTTTGCCTAGGCCGGATGCAGATCAACCTTGTGCAGTTGTTCATGTGGCACTGCGTCTGAGGAGCCAGCGAAGCAGCCTTGTTCGGTCCTGTCAACAAAGAAAATCCATGGCTGCATCAAGAGCTGAGCCTCTGTGTGTACGCCCTTTGCCTCCAGGCCGAGACGGGAAGCTGGTTAGAGTGGCGTAGAAAACGAGCAGGCGTTTCATCACTACTCATCCGGCGGGAAGGCGGCCGGAAATAGCACATGGTTCGGGACAGCGGTGATGCTAATACCGGTAACTACTACTTTACAACTTGTGCCATAGTACAATAATAGTATCGGTAGATGTCGCAGCCCACGTGAACCAGGGCGTGCGAAAGAACATGGCGTTCAACGTCGAGTACATTTCCAAGTTTTTCTTTCTTTCTTTCTTTTTTACCATCAGATGGGGGGGGCTCTGCAGCAAGCGCGGCCAACATGGGTTGGAATGCTTCTTTCCGTCAGCATCAGCCATGCTGGAGAGGCCAGCCGCGTCAGTCCTTCACGCCTGTCAGACCAACGAGAATGAAGACATGCCAGACTCTCGGATTTGTTGGTTGCCCACTCAACCATCGACGACAGCGTCATGGCTGGCCTAGAGTGTACTCTAATCATTGTAGAGTATTGTACTAGACAGGCCTGGTCCGGCTGGGAGTTGGCCCCCGCCCCTTCAGATCAAGCTTCCGTCCAAGAGAAGCCACGCGAAAACAGGCACGCTCCAATCAAAAGCAGGTTCCTCGTTTTGCAGCATAGTACCGCAACTGGCCTGGTGTTCCAAACAGTCGTGCATAGTGTGGCGTCATGAAGCCAGTGAGTGAGCTCAGGGTTACGTGGGAGGGAAATGGTGTGGAGGCGGTGCGACCTGTTGCGGCAAGGGAGCAACCCTACTGTACTCCTACTTGCTGCACGTCCTTCTAGGCTGTTGCTGCTGCAGGTTGCTGTGCATGTTGCTGCCGCCGACGGTCAATCAGACAACACGCTAGCACGCCGCTGCCACCCTACGTATAAGAGACCTTCCTCCTCCTTTGTTATTCACTCTCTTCCCTCTACCCACCCACTCACCCACTCCCTTCAAGCCCTCCAATCCAGTCCACTCCGCCTCAACCAACCAACAAAAGTCTCTACTCATAATCCGCCAACATGCGTTTCTCCACCATTGCCATCTCCATTGCTGCCGCTGGCACCGCCAACGCGCAGGTCCTCTCTTCCATTCTCGGTGGAGGTGAATCTTTCCTCTCCTCGGTCGTCGGCGGTGCCACCTCTGACCTCGCCTCCATCACGTCCGAGATTGGCTCCGTCGCTTCCTCCGTCACTGGCTCTGCCGCCTCTGGCATCGAGTCTGCCGTCTCCTCCATCGACTCAAACGTCTCGTCTGTCATTGCCAGCATCACCAGCGAGGCTGCCAGTGCCACAGGTTCCATCCAGTCGTCGCTCAACTCCCGCGCCAGCTCGCTTGCCAGCCAGGCCAGTTCGCTCCGCAGCGCCGCCAGCTCTGCCGCCAGCTCTGCCACCTCCACGGGCGGTGCTGCCCAGGCCACTGCCCTCCCCGTCATGGGAGCCGTTGCCGGCGGTCTCTTCGCCATGGCTGGTCTCTTGTAGATCATTTCAACTTCTGCGATATTCGACTGTTCGATCCAAAAGTCATTTTTGCTCTCCGGCCCTGTGGACGGTCACAAATCGTCGGCTTCGAGAACGAGGTTGCCTCGCTGTCTCCATAGAGGCAGCGTGTGTGATGGAGGATGGGGATTCGATACGGGTTCACTCAGTTACATCTAATACCATTGTAATGAAGTAGTTCGAACAATATACCTTTTGGAGCCTCACAATTGTTTGTGCTGGGCCCAATCCACCTTTCACAAATTGTCCTTCGCCTCTATGCTTGTAATCGTCATGTACATTTTCAATTCGTTGCGTCCTTCTGTTCTCGTGCAATCAATTACTTACTCGCCTACCGCTACTCCTAATCATAATCGCCCACGATTCCCACCTGCCTTCGCACAGATACATCGGCAAAGGAAGCGAGCCCTGTTCCTGTGTCCACGCCTGGTCGTTCATATGACGTTAGGCCGCGCGTCTCCTCGTTGTGGCGTCCAGTCTCGATAGCGTTAAATTGCCAAGCCGGAAAAAGCCCGTGCAATACGCTAAACCACATCCGGATCCAACCACAAAGTCTCCTTATGATGCGCGGACCAAGCATGCAACATTGCTGTTTGACCGTCTTGGCAGCTTGATTTAACGTTGCAGGTTGCATTGCCGCACCGACGAGGTGTTGGTCAATGCAAAGTGTGTCTGGATTTGGTATACCCACCATACCTGATACGGCTGTGCAATGAATATGGGAGTTTGGAGCCTTTTCCTTCCTCATCGATACACAGTGAGTGTTGCAGAAACGCACGAGAGATACCGAATCATTTTATAGTCTGCTGTTTAACAATGTGCAGTCAATCACACAGATACCAGATATGTTATGATACTGTACACAAATTATACCATTAGAGCTACACAGCAGTCCATACCAACAATGTACACTATACACAAACAGCACCAACTCCAAATCTAGTATATGAATTTAACTTTACCCACTCCATTACTCCTTCCAATCTCTCCAGACAGCTCGTCAAAAACAATTCCAATCTCCACTATTACCAGCAGCGGGAGAAAAACTTTTAGACAACAAGTACCGAGCTCGCCATAAAGATAACAACTACTCATCTTCCAACCCACTTTCTACTTGGACTACAGGTTTGATAAGTTTGGTAAGCCTACAAACAAAGGTCGAAATGTCTGATCAATATATTCCTCGCAACTGCACTGGTAAGCCGAATGAGCGTCTGCTGAACGTTACGCTGGGTCATGCAGAAGACTGTACTTGTCGCCTTTGTACTGGCGAGGATATGGAAAAGAATGGCAACGATACTGGTAAGATTGGTCATGCTAAAGGCTGCATGTGTTCGTATTGCAACAACACAATGCAGCGACCTGAGAACAATACCTTGGCTCATCCCCAAGGCTGCACATGTTTGCATTGCGCCGGTAAGCACATCCAGCGTCCCACAAACACCACTTCAGGCTATCATCCTAAAGCATGCACATGTCAGCACTGCAAAGGCCTCACGCCAGGCCATCCACTAAACTGCACCTGTCCACACTGCACCGACACCCACCTCAAACAAACCTACAACATCACACTGCCCTCCCACCCCTCACACTGCACATGCCCAGCATGCACCCAAAACACCCCCTACGTCAACACCACCCTCCCCCATCCCCACAACAATACACGTTTTCCCCCTCCCACCCAACCACAAACACAACCACCCCCATAAAAAAA